AATACTGCTAAAAAGTACTTGTAAGACGTGTTCCTGTGATGCATTTCCATTACCCACACTTTGCTCTGAATGGGCCTGCACATCCCAGTCAACCATCGCAGAGCGTGACATCACCCTCAGTTTTAATGACACGGCTCTGTCAAGACATACTGTGCATACGCACACATGCACGGTGCACACGCTCCATCAGCTCCTTTTGGCTCTAGCCTGACATCTAGCGACACCAAGTGTAATGTGATTTTACGTGACATGAACATGTGACCAGAGTAAAGCTGGGGAGTTGAGATGGGTGAACGCTCAACGTTTTTTATTGCTTCAAAATACTGTTTAGATCACAGGTGCCAGACTGCGGCACTCGGGGGGGCATTCCCCGGCATATCGGAGATGTTTCGGTACGGGTGAGTTGGAGGAAGGAAAAACATGCAGGATGGTGCCCCCGCCCCTCCCCCACTGAGGATCGGAGTTTGACCCCTGGGATTTAGATTGACCTCAACACTGTTTCCGCTTTTGGTGTTCCGAAAGCCATTCATACACTCTTAACACGGAACTCGAAAGGTTTGACCAACGTCTTGAGTATGGACGTTTCGTGCTGACTGTCGCTAACAAGTAAACGAGGAAATTGCTCTTGCAAAAGAGCCAATAAGTCATTCAAATTTCTCAACCCCTTAAATGTCATCTTGCCTCATTCCCAGAAGTGTAAATAACAACGCAAAACATCCACAACAGCTGTAGGAACATCAGCATGCACCACAAACACCGTCGCACGCTCTTTTTGTGAAGTCATTGTTGAATTCGTCTCCTCCTCCTCCTCCTCCCGCCACCGCACTTTCTCATCATGACACTATCCCTGCAGGCGTCAACAGAGCCAAGACAAAGTGTCGGTGTGTTTGGGGGTAAACACCACGGGATCCCGCAGCTCTGAAGATGGCCCGGACGATAGGGCGTTTGGCATCGCGCCGCCCTCCACCCAAAGCGGGGACGTCTGGCGGTGTGACACGGTGGAAACGACCCGACAGCTGCAGCTCACGCGGACAGATAAGATGACAGGTAGACCCGCTTTACCTGTCGAAACGCACACGCGGCCCATTATAAGAGCGTGTGAGCTCGGCGTGTGTGTCGGGGCCCCGAGGAGCACTGTACACAATGGGCTGACAAATAGGGTGGCAGCTGCGTCCTGAAATTGTTTGCACTGAACAATGAGCTCATTATTATTCAGATTGTTAGCCTAAAAAAATATTTGCCAAAGTCATTATTAACTTAGTGTCACCCAATATCGGTTTAAAAAAAAAAAATACCGATGTGCTTGCGAAATGTATTTTTTTCTTGTTGATTTTTTTTTCCCTTCCAAAAGTATTCCAAAATACCTTGTTGGGTGATAAGCCGAAGGAAGAGAAAAGCTATGAGAATGAAGTCATAGTTTTTCAAATAAATCATTGTATATTGCTGATTTTGTGGGTGGAGAGAGACTGAGCCCTGCCAAGAATAGATGACATCAAAATAATTGACGCCACCCCTGAAAGTTTTACAATTTCCAATGGATACCCCCCCCAAAAAAAAATTGCCTCTGAAATCACCTAAAAAATTGTGGCTCTCCAAAATGCCACCAAACAAAACACTTAGATGAGATTCGCACTGAGAAACAGAGGATAGCCCCCCCCCGCACCACCAAAAAGTATTTTTTAGGGTTTGCTCTACAAGAATGAAGTTATGATTTTATGTGTGTGTGTGGGTCAGGGGGGTAGAAAATAGTTGTGGTTGTACAAGAATAAAGTAGACGCGCAACCACAAAGTAGATGGTGGTTAGCATGTCCGCCTCAGAGGCTTCAGCGAAGACTCTAAATTGTCCAGGGGTGCGAATGGCGGTTTGTTGGCTGGCAACCAGTCTAGGGCGTACCTTGCTTTTTTGGTTTTTTTTTTCTTTTTTTTTTCACAGTCAGCCACATATGCTCCAGAATTACCCGATGACGACAAGTGCAACAACAAATGGAAATGCAAGGCTAAAGGTGACATGTTACCAGAATAACGCAGCGCTAATTTAAGAATAAATTTGCAGTTGTGCTTGTGTGAGAAAATCCATGCGACCGTTTTCCACCGTGACTCTTCTCTGTTATGACAACTTGATTTTCATAACATTGTGACTTTCATCTTGGAACGTCTTCTTCAGTAACATCCCCCCCCACCCCCCTGAAAAAAGCACTGGTATGACCTGAACAAAATACTGCTAAAAGGTACTTGTAAGGCGTGTTCCTGTGATGCATTTCCATTACCCACACTTTGCTCTGAATGGGCCTGCACATCCCAGTCAACCATCGCAGAGCGTGACATCACCCTCAGTTTTAATGACACGGCTCTGTCAAGACATACTGTGCATACGCACACATGCACGGTGCACACGCTCCATCAGCTCCTTTTGGCTCTAGCCTGACATCTAGCGACACCAAGTGTAATGTGATTTTACGTGACATGAACATGTGACCAGAGTAAAGCTGGGGAGTTGAGATGGGTGAACGCTCAACGTTTTTTATTGCTTCAAAATACTGTTTAGATCACAGGTGCCAGACTGCGGCACTCGGGGGGGCATTCCCCGGCATATCGGAGATGTTTCGGTACGGGTGAGTTGGAGGAAGGAAAAACATGCAGGATGGTGCCCCCGCCCCTCCCCCACTGAGGATCGGAGTTTGACCCCTGGGATTTAGATTGACCTCAACACTGTTTCCGCTTTTGGTGTTCCGAAAGCCATTCATACACTCTTGTTTACGGTACTTGTTGTGATGTAATGCTATGTGGAGGGGCAGTGATGCACAATAACAGGCTGGGTGAATTTCTTGCTGGGTTGGTTTCCCCCCCTCATCCCACTCAAAACATTTCATTGCCTCGCGATTGCACATAGTTTTATTTGAACAGCAGCAACTAGTGAAAGAAAAAAAAATAAAGCTCACTGAGCTCCATGCAATAAATACACTAAGTTTGTCTCCCTTCTCCAGTCTGACAGGAATGAGGTCAGACACACCGATCCTCATTGCACATTATTATTATTATTATTGCCCGTGTCTTTTTTCGCCCAGCCAATCAGAGGGCGAGGGGCGCGGCCCCAGTGAATAAACGGGGATGGAGACAGGCGCCGATTGGCCGCGGTTCTTCGTCCGAGAAGCTATAAAATCGCGCGGCGGTCCTTGTTGTGTTTACAGTAACGTTGACAGAGCGCGCAGGCAAACGGGGAGACTATGAGAAAACGCAGCTGCTCCATTCAACCACATGGTTCCTCAACCGCACACACGAGCCGCGCTGCTGACGTCCACTTGAGGGACTTGCACTGGTGCCGTCCACAGCGACGCGTTCTGAGTCCAGTGGGTCGAGTTTTCAGCCGCACCGGCAGTTGAAAAGTTGACTCTTGGCTCGTTTTTTTATTGTTGTAGTTTTTTTTTCCTTCAAGTAAATAGAACCCAAAAGGTTCCGAGTCGAAATTGAAGAGAAACTTTTTTTTTCTGTTGTTGCGAGGCACAAGTTTATCCGTCCGTGTGATAGGAACGAGTGGGGAGTATTGTTGAGAAGCCGTGGTGTTTTTTACGCACTTTTTTTTACGCACTGTAAGGATGGTGCAGCAGCAGCAGCACATGAGCAGCGCCCGAGCTCTTTCCCCAGCCGGGGACTCCACGGACGGCGCAGAGATGGACTCGGAGGAGAAACAGAGGATAGCCCCCCCCCGCACCACCAAAAAGTATTTTTTAGGGTTTGCTCTACAAGAATGAAGTTATGATTTTATGTGTGTGTGTGGGTCAGGGGGGTAGAAAATAGTTGTGGTTGTACAAGAATAAAGTAGACGCGCAACCACAAAGTAGATGGTGGTTAGCATGTCCGCCTCAGAGGCTTCAGCGAAGACTCTAAATTGTCCAGGGGTGCGAATGGCGGTTTGTTGGCTGGCAACCAGTCTAGGGCGTACCTTGCTTTTTTGGTTTTTTTTTTCTTTTTTTTTTCACATTCAGCCACATATGCTCCAGAATTACCCGATGACGACAAGTGCAACAACAAATGGAAATGCAAGGCTAAAGGTGACATGTTACCAGAATAACGCAGCGCTAATTTAAGAATAAATTTGCAGTTGTGCTTGTGTGAGAAAATCCATGCGACCGTTTTCCACCGTGACTCTTCTCTGTTATGACAACTTGATTTTCATAACATTGTGACTTTCATCTTGGAACGTCTTCTTCAGTAACATCCCCCCCCCC